GGGGGGGAAGGGACACCCCCAGGCCTTGGGTTTGGGGCCTTTTGGGGCTTCTTGGCCCGTTCTGACCGCGCTGCTGCTCCCGCCTTTGTCCCCCTGTCCCGGCCTCTGCCCCCCGCGCTGGGCGAGCTGCCCTGGGCCCCGCGGCGCTAACGGGGCCGTGTCTCCCGTCCCCCAGGTGTCCGGCGCTCCCGGAGGCGCCGCTCGGCTGACCCGCGCGCAGGAGCCCATGGAGAGCGGCCGGCGGCTGGAAGCCTGAGGTATCCGCGCAGGGCGGCCGCGGCACCAGGGCAGCTCCCGTGGAGCCGGAGAGCTGCTCCAGGAACTGGCCTTGGAGTGGAAATTCTGGAAAATCTAGACAAGCCCTCRGCGTGGGGCACCTGGGAGGATAACCCCGAGTCACAACAGGGTTGCCATTATATTTATCTTCTATCTAGGTAGTTAATACCCTTCGACTTTCAGCACTCTGAAGTATTTTAAGTGCTAATGTACTTGATTTTTTTGTGGTGTTTGGTAACAATAAATACGGGTAGTAGTTGTCATCTATGCAGTTATGTTAAACAGATGGGATAACTGAACACTTCACACTTCCTGGTGTTTCTAAGTGAGTCATTTAAAGAGTGTGATTAATCATCCTGCCATAATGGTATTTCTTTTCTACCACCTACAAAACCTCAAGCACAGAAGAGATATTCAGATTCTGTGTGGATGGAAAGTAGAGAACCTTTTTTTAGGCAGAGGGAGAGTGCATGTGATGAACTTTTTATCTTAAGGATTTATATCTGAGCTTTGTTCTGCAGAAATATGATGATGTATCCAGAAAGCCAGTAATTACTGACTGCCCCTAAAGGGCAGTAATATGTGGAACTAGGTTAACTTTACTGGCCTCTTCTCCCTCTGTGGTACTTGTCTCAAGTCACCTGGGACAGAGGCACTTTCCTTAACATTCCTTGCTCTGTGTGTTTGGCGTTTTCCTCATGGTCAAGTCCTGGTGTTGTCAGAACAACCTGCCCTTACCCGAGTGCTGAGTGGAGCTCAGTGGGGAGTGCAGCTGTGTTTGTTTTAGGGTGCTGTAGTGGTGCAGCAAAGACACGGGCGAGAACTTTGTGTTTCAAAATGTGAGACAAGGAATGACCAGCTTTGAACATGGACAGTGTGGGAAGTGACAGCCAGCAGTTACCTCCACCTTGTGAGCCAGAGCAGCAGTGCTTGGCACCAGGAGGAGAAAACAGCTGTTACAGACAGTAGAAAATGTTTTCAAGGGGAGATACCCAGTTTTGATTTAAGTTAGCTAAAGGATTGGGGTGGAAGCATTGGATCCATTGAGATGCCATACAAAACACAGGAGACAGGTTAGGGGRGTGATTCTTTGGGGAGCAATGTTTAGAAGTGGCTACCTAAGGGGAAGAGAAAAGTAGCATGTGGGGAAGAAAAGGAGGAGACCAAGGATGCGTCAGAACGGTTTCCACAAAGAACATGGGAAAGGTAGAATAAACATGTGCCCACTTCTGCTGCTGGCAATTAAATTCTGTAAGTTTTCATATCTGCTGGCAGTACTGATAAGACTTACTCTTTCGTAAATATTTGCCTAATAGCTGGTCTGATCTGTTTGTTGGCTCATCAGCTTTCCTGTGAAGACTAATTACTGTCTGGAATGTCCTGGGAATGCTGCTCTGTGTCTCCCTTTAAAAGAAATAGAAGCAACTCTAATATGTTGGCAGAATGACCAAGAAAGGGAAAGAGATTTACTTAATTTTCTCTCCGCTCTTTAGCAGAATGGTGCTGTGTGGTTGTTCTCTTGCCCTGACAAGCTCTCTAGTAAGTGATGTGCTCTGTACCTCAGCCATTACAGATAGCTTGTTGAAAGTGAAGCCCCATGAGGGGGTGGCACTTGACTTGGTCTCTTCTTTGAAAGTGAATGTTGAAAAATGGGTGTTCTTTAGGAAACAGAAAAGTTGGAGGCTGGTCTGAGAGCTGGCTGGCCAACGAGAGGGGTGGTAAGGGCCCAGAAATCAGCAGAACTGATGCCTTTTTCTCCCACTCCAAGGTTATTCACAATTTGTAATAGTGTGATCGTGCTGGTATAACATTCAGAAAGTGAAGGAATACAACCCTTCCTCTTTTATGCTTGTGAAGTGGACACGGACACCCGTTTGGCTGATACCGGAGCTAGAGAGCTCAAGGAAAGCAAACAAGCGAAGTCGGGTAGGAGCCAGTACCACCAAAGTGGGTGCATAAGGTTTGTGCTGCCCGAGTGGTGGAAGGGACATCTTGCAGATGTGGGCTGCACCTGTAGTCTTAGGACTCAGGAAATCAGGAATTTAGAACTTAGAATCGGGGAATGATTCCAGCAGAAGGTTCCTCTAAAGTCACATCTCTGGTTGCCAGGAGTCCACACTGGGTAGTTGCAGTCCTGTAACTGCAGCACAGTATTTTTGAGGGCTTTTAGAAGCTAAAAATGTCACAAAAAAAAATACCGTGCAGTGCTGTTGTGTTGCACCTAGAAGAGGGGGAGGAGGTCTCATATTTTCCCTTTATTTTTTTTCTAACATCTTTGGCCTAAGAATAAGTCGGTCATTGCTGAGTTTTTTAAAGCTGAGGTGGGCTCTTTCTCTCTGGTTTTGAGCAGGCTAGAAGCCAAACATTTGCATAATAAGCTACACTGCTGAACTAATTTGGCAAATAATACAGAATTTGGCTCATCTTGAGCTGTTTATTAATAAACTAATTAAATTTGCTAGCAGCTTATTTCTTGGTCCCGTGCTCTGATCCACTTGCACTCAGGGCGGCTTGGCGCTGTCACCATGGATCGCTCCCGGCACCACGCGGGGACCGGGAACAGCAACGAGGCGGCGTCTTCCCGGGAGCAGAGCTATGGAGAGGACGAGAGGCAGCGGCAGCTGGAGCGGCTCGGCCGCGAGGAGGCCTATTACCAGTTCATTAACGAGCTCAACGAGGAAGACTACAGGTTAATGAGGGACCGCAATCTGCTCGGCACTCCTGGTAAGGGCCTTTCCCTCCTGGGGCTGCCTTCAGCAGAAAAGACAGGATGCTGAAAAGGCAGGAAAAGCTGCAAATGCCAAGTGATGCTGCTGCTGCTGTTGGACAYCACTTGTGGCTGGATAACTTGAATCTGTGGTGTTGTAGAAAGGAAGGAAAAAAAAATCTCATTTTTCCACACAAAGTTGATGATTCCCAAGAAAAGTTGTCAACTTTAAAAGAGATACTGAAGCTGTGATTAAAAGTATAGCTCCTTTGAATGCAATATCTCTCTATATTGATAACATTCACATCCATGTAGTTAACATCTTAATATTGAAGCGCAGCTTATGGCAATTGGCAATTTTTAGGTTTCTGGATTGTTGCTGGAAGTTGTCATGCTAATGACACACATTTTAGCATCTTTTTTTTTTTTTCCTCCTTAGTATCTGTTTGCTTTATTTGGGTTATTTGAGTGCCTGTGTTACTGTTATACACTAGTGTTTTTCTTTTAATTTATTTTACTTTTTACTAACCTTTTCATTCAAGATATAAAATACCGTTATTTCTTCATGGTTTTGRGCCAGTAAAATGTACCACCTGATAACATCAAAATGTAAAATATTTCAGGAGAAATCACAGCAGAGGAGCTGCAGCAGCGTTTGGAGGGGGCCAAGGAGCGTCTTGCGTCACAGTCTGATCCTGAGAGCAGAGACAGTGAAGGCAGAACCGCTGGAGGTAAATGTTCCTCATTCACCCGTTTAAATAGTGTGGGATATATCAAAATGGTTTAAATAGTGTGGGATATGCAAGTATTGTTCTTCGGTACCTATAGGTAAAACTTGATAATTTAAGGACCAGCCATTTCCAATCTCTTTCTCCATTCTATCTCTGGAATAGTTGCATATTTAGAGAGATTCCCTAATGATGCAGAAACAAACTTGATACATTTCCYAAGAACTAATTGCCATCAGCTACAAATTTCTTTCTCCTCCTTTTCTGCTTCCTCCTTACCAGTGAATTTAACAGTACAAAAATAATATTTATTTTTTCTTCTTAGAAGGTTTTGGTGAGCGCTAAGGAAGTTAGAAGGGGAAAAATGGCTAAATGGAAAAGTTGGGCTTTTCTTGTTCTGTTTTCATTCATTTCCGTTTGTTTTTAGAGTTTTTGTGTATCTGTGCTGTCTCTCTTCTCTTTCTCAGCAATATATATTTATATATAAAYATATATTTTAAACCTTTGGCCAATTCCATCAGATTCAGCAGAGTAACAGCTGCCTCTGAAGTCAAGATAMGAGCGTTCTCGTGGGTTTTAGGAAGCTGGGGACCTGGGAGTCCTCAGCAGTGCTCCGTTTGAGGGAAGGGCCGTGCTGTGGGCTCGACCATCCTCACTTCTGTCTGCCCATCCTCGTGCACATAGTGCAGAGCTGAGCAGGGCAGGAGTTCCTTTTGCTGAGCTCCTTGCTAGTGGAGGGTGCAGCTGGAGGAGCCTTGGGAACACGATTGAGGGTACTGCAGTGGGGAATAAGTTCAGTGCCCTTTGTAGACAGGGAACAAATCTGTAGGGAGAAAACCAGGGATCGTTTACTGCACTGTTTGTAGCAGAAAGTTCTTGAGCGATCCATCTATCCACTCTTCCTTGGTTTGRCATGTTTAGATTATTAAGAGACTCTCAAATCAGTAGCCAAGTAAGGGACAGACAGTGAACAAATGCAAGTACCATGTTTTAGGTAAGCCACTGAATTCTGAGTGTTTTCTTAGAGGACGTTCAGTGGACACATTCTGTTCTCTGTGTGTCTTGTGACACTAAAATTCTGGGCTCAGCAGGTCCTTTCGGCTGCTGTTTTTATGCACAGCATTTTTGGGCAGGACTGTGTTAGCATCTGCCCCGCTGCTGCGGGCTCGGCAAGCACAGCGGAGCTGGAATTGCTCCTCTCATAGAGGTGTGCTGTTGTATGAGCATCGGAAAACAAATTCCTTATGTGTTTCCTTCAGATTCGGATGTCCTCGGRGAGAGCTCAAATGGGGACTCGTTGCTGGAGTGGCTGAACACGTTTCGCCGCACGGGAAATGCCACCCGCAGCGGCCAGAGCGGGAACCAGACCTGGAGAGCCGTGAGCCGGACGAATCCCAACAGCGGCGAGTTCCGATTCAGCCTGGAAATCAACATCAATCACGAACATAACAACTTTGAAACGGCTGGCGAGGAGTACGTGGGTATAGACAGCAGCAGGATGTATTTGGAAAGAAGCCATCAGAGAGCTGTCAGTCCAGTGACCACGCGGACCAGGAGCAGGACCTCGAGGGAGGCCAGCGGTGACGCGCCGAGCCCTGCGAGGAGCAGGTCTCTGCGAAGCTCAGCGGCGCGGAGCGAAGYGGCCTCTGCCCCGCTCTCGGGGAGGCTGCGGAGCAGAACGAGGGAGCTGCCAGGCCTTGGCAGAGCAGCCTCCGCACGTCGCAGCTCTCCAGCCGCCGGGGAACCAAGAGAAAGGCCAGGAGGGGGCCCCTCCGCAGCAGCCCCGCGAGGCAGGGCCAGGGGCAGCGCTCGTGCCGATGCCCCCCAGAGGCTGGAGATCCTACGGCTGAGGTCCACGCTGAGCAGCCGGAGCCGCTCCCCGCTGCGGAGGCAGCAGGAGGCCGCCGGCCCCCAGGAGCGCGGGCAGGGCCGTGAGAGAGGTGCCCAGGGCCAGAGCGGCCGGGGCAGGCGCCCGGCGCCACAGCCGCCTGCCCAGGCTGCCCAGGAGCCGGCCCGCGGCGATGCGCCGGCCGCTCCGCCGGCCCCGGGCGCGCCTCTGGACGAGGAGGAGTCCGGCAGGCCCGTAGCTGCCGTGAGGAGGCACCCAACAATTACCTTAGACCTTCAGGTGAGGAGGATTCGCCCCGGAGAGAACCGAGATCGGGACAGTATCGCCAGCAGAACCCGCTCCAGAGTGGGAATGGCAGAGAACACGGTTACTTTCGAGAGCGACAGCGGCGGCTTTCGCCGTACGATATCGCGGTCGGAGCGCGCGGGCATTCGAACCTACGTCAGCACCATCCGGATACCCCTGCGTCGCATCTCRGAGACCGGCCTCGGGGAGCCCTCCTCGGTGGCTCTCCGCTCCATCCTCCGGCAGATCATGACGGGCTTTGGAGAGCTGAGCTCTTTAATGGAGACGGAATCCAACTCGGAAGCGCCAAGAGGAGGTCCTCGCTTGCCCGACGTGCGCTCGGAGCAGCGCGACTCCAATTCCGCCRACAGCAGCCGGGAGCCGAGCGGGGTTCCCGCCGGGAACGCGCGCGGCCGGAGCGCCGACACGCCCCAGCGCGGGCGCAGGAGCCACGGGCAGGAGCCGAGGCAGGCCCAGGATGCCAACAGCCTCGTGGAGAGCGGCACGCTGCCCATCCTGCGCCTGGCCCACTTCTTCCTGCTGAACGAGGAGGACGAGGACGAGCGCCTCCGAGGCCTCACCAAAGAGCAGATCGACAATCTCTCCACCCGGAACTATGGGGACGTGAGCGCCGAGAGCGAACTAAGCAAAACGTGCAGCGTTTGCATTAATGAATATATAGCAGGAAATAAGCTGAGGCAGTTACCGTGCATGCATGAGTTCCATATTCACTGTATTGACCGCTGGCTTTCCGAAAATTCCACGTGCCCCATTTGTCGGCAGCCCGTGCTGGGCTCTAACGCCACAGACAACGGCTAGCATTCCTTGCACTGCTCAGTATTCAAGGATTTCCTTCTGCTCTACTTGTGACGAGCCAAATAAAGAGAGTTCACTTGCATAGGGGTTCAGTTGTGGGGGGATTTTTTGTTAATTCTTCAAAAATAATAGAAGACTTGTCTAAATCTAGCGATGTAAATACTATTTTTCTCCAAGCGCAGATCTAGGAGTACACGTAGAACCAAATGATATCAGTAAAGTTTCTATTTTTTTAGATAATTTTGTTATGCTAAGCACTTTTGTAAATACAGAAATGCAATAGTTAATCAGTCATGCTTAATGTATTTTTTTTGTTTTTTTGTTTTTTGTTTTTCTAACAGTGTAATGGACTCACTTTATTTAGATTACGAATTGTTTCACACAGACTCACCACTGTGCTGAAAGATTAGTGTCTAAATAGCCATTCATTAGCTTTTTGTTCTGAGAACAATTTCTTTTACAGAGAGTCTCTTGCTGGACATGTTTGCTAAAGATATTTAAGTTACTTGAAGTGCTCATTTTAATATACAGTATATTTTTTTTTAACATTGATTGAAATATCCTTTCCAAAAACTTGCCAACTTGGTTCTATTTAAAAATTTTTATGGCAATTTTTTGCATGTGGTTTTACACAATGCCTAATGCTGAYGGATTCATACTCAAAAGTGGATGGGTTGGTGACCTTATAAAATGTACATAATTTAATGCTGTCTCTGACAATCGCTGCCTTTTCAATGCAGGCAGCAACCAAATCAATGGTAATTCCAGAAGATGTGTCTTGCTGAACAGAGATACTTGTTCTAAGAAAGAAAATAAGCATTGAAGAAGCCTTCTGACTTTTCCAAACTACTCAATTGATTTTCATGGTTTTTTTAACTGCCTTAGTTTGAAGAAGGAAATAATTCCTTGACCATTATATTGTCTACAATATGCATGATTTGTGCATCTTACTCAGAAACAAAGCAAAAGCTTAAAGTGTTTTTGTACAGAAATCTGCCAGGTACATATATAACATTCGTCCTCTCAAACATGTCTGAGGACCAAATGGCAAAAGCCACTCGAAAGGACAAAGAGAACTTCATTTCAACTCCCCAGATTCCTGTATAATTAGATATTAAACTTTATACCAATAACTTATAAAGAAATAAAGTTGCAAAGTCGATAACTGAGCCTTTGTGTGAGTGTGTTGAGCCGTGTTCCCTAGATGGAGAGGAAGGCRCCGCTCCCCAGCCTTGGTTTCTTGTGCACTTTGTTCTTCAGCTGACACCTCGACGAGGGGCATCTTGGAAGGGAAGCCGTACAGCTCTGTGTGCAGCTGCTGCGTGTTCAGCTGCGTCTGGCACGCGAGAAACTTGTGTCGAAAGTTCCACAAACTCAAGATATTTCCTTTTACTCCTAAAAGTCGCTCTGAAAAATCCTCTTTTGAGTTGTAGATGAGTTCAGGGAGGTGACTGGAGTGTGTTGTGGCCTGGTTTTGCTTGCTGTTCGTCGCAAGAGCTGTCAGCTTGAAGTGCCACTACACAACATGAAAGGGTAGGGAGATTTACATATGAATATCACAACTAGCTTATGTTTTACTCTTTTATTATTTATTTCTGTTAGCACCTGGTTGTTGGTGATATGTAGACATATGGATGCCTCCTACAGCTTCCCCACGTTCTATTTTTTACGTTTCTGTATTTGAAACTGCCTCGCTCCAGTGACACATCTGCAGCAACCTGCCCTGGGCTCTGCCTTGCTTTGCTGGGGCTCCTCCAGGGCAGTTGCCACCCAGATCCTGGGCGGGAATGTGGCCGAGTGGAGCGGAAAGGGAAGGGGATTGTGCAGCTGGTGGGACGGGTGGGTGTCCTGGAGCATCCTGTGCTCGGGCTGTCCCAGGAGGGGAAGGAAGCAGCGGCCTTGCCTGAGCGAGCGCCGTGGTGGTGGTTGTGGTCAATTGTCTCCTCCCACGCTTCTTTTCTGTCTTCTTTCTTCTTTAACAGCCAGTTGGAATCCTGCTCAACCTGTCCATTAATGCCCTACAAGTCAAGGGAGATTCTCTGTGCCTTTGGCCATTAAGATGGGATTTTGCTGGTAGCCATAAGAGGAAAACATCTCMCAGGGATCCACACGGGATCCGGCGCCGCAGGCGTCTGTGGCTGAGTTGCTCATGGGGAATACAACACAGTGCGTCTCACCCAGGCTGCCACGGGGTATGTGTGACTTCAGTGGGAAATTCCCGTCAATTATCCCCAAATTCTCTCTCATTAGCTGATCTMATCATGTGTTTTATCCTTCCTTTTAAAAAAGCTGAAGGATGGAGTAATGTTTGATTTTCCTTCATGATTTTCCTTCAAGGATGCAATAACCTTTGCCTTTCTTCTTAGGACTATATTTCGTTGCAGCTCCATTTTAATCCAGCTATATGGATTATAGCACTCCCTAAACAAATCCAAGCCAGATTTTAAATTCTGAAATTGCATGCTTTTTTTTCCCCTCTCATAGATTGCCACACTTTTCTCTTCTATGCAGATCAATGATCCACTCGGTTCCTTCTGAAAATTCAGCATATTCTGTTTTCCACATGGACATTTCCGTTCAATTTAGTTGTTTTTGAGACCCAAGTTAAGCTTCCTCTAGTGAAATCCTCACTTTTGCAAGCTGCCTTTTTCCAACAGCATTTCATTGAAGACACGTTTCTCCAGGCAGCATTTCTCTGTGTAGGACTCCATGCGCCGCCCTTGCTGAGCTCCGCTTCCGGAGCGCTCTGCAACGGTGTCTTATTTACTCCTGGCTAGTTAGGGCGCTTTCAGCAGCTGAAGACTGTTGGAGCTAGACACTTCCCAGCTATGTTTGTGTCCCATAATGAGCAATCCTAGCACTATGTTCTGTGCAAGAAACCTCAGAAATAAAGCCAGACTCCTCCTGTATTTATTACGTTGAATATGGAAGATGTGACTTGCTGCGGATGGCTCCGCACGCTCGCTTCTCATGCAGCGTTTCAGCCGTTGTGTGAGAGACCCGCCTGCCTTGGGCTGATCCTCTGCTTTCTCAGGCTTGTGCTCCTTTTGTGTCGTTATTTCAGATTCTGTCCCATTTCTGCCTGTCAGTTAACGTGCACTTAGCCTTTACAGCTGCACAATAAGGCAGTGCTGCCTTTGCCTGGCTGGCTGTAAAGGCAGCGAGGCCGAGGGCGCCTCTCGGTGCTGCCTCTGACCTCTGYGTACGGGCCGGCCCAGCCCGGATCAGACGCTGCTCCCCCTGCGTGACGGGGAGGCAAAACCCACCGAGGAGCAATGAGCAGCAAGGCAGGGAGGAGCCACCGAAGAGCTCGGCCTTCCTGAGGCGGACGGGAGCGACGGGCAGGACGTGTTGGGCTGGGAATGGGAGAGCGGGAGCGTCTCCAGTGGTTCTGGAGCTCTAGGGTATGTGCAGAATCCAAGTGCAAACCCGGGCACACTGAAGCCTGCAGCATYGCACTGATACAGGGGTGCCTCACGAGAGAAATGGGAGGCTCTTGTGCTTCTATTTAAATAAATATCAACAAAGTGTTCAAAGACCAAGAAACCTGGGCCCATCTGCTTGTGTATTCCATGCTTTCAAAGAGTTAAAGCAGAAAACGTGGTTTAATCTGTGACGTGAATGGGGCAGTTGAAGAACCTGGTACCAAGTCCCAACACAACATTATCGCTTGGCTTCAGTTCAGACTCTAAAGGTTTTAAATACCCATGGATTCAGACGTGTGCTTTGCAACCTAGTGAATAGCCTGATGGGACAACCCGTTTCATTTTCCACAGCCCTCTTCAAGCTGGGAGAGCTACAACCTTCATGCCTTTACTGCAAGAAATCATGGGGATTCATAGTTTGCTCACCTCATGTCTCAGCGACCCACACAGCAGCAGGCCTAGACACAATATATATGTATATACATAGGAAGACATCCCTATCCTGGCTTCGCTGCAGCAAGCGCAGGCTGCAGGAGCTGCCTCCTCGCTGCCATGAGCGCCAGCACCATCGGAGGGGGAAAAGACAGGAAAGGTCAGGGCCAGCCACGTGCTGCTCTCCTTGCTCCATTAGCTGAGGTAGCCCGAGCACCACCCATGGTCAGAAATGCAGGCGCACGTCTCGGCTCTGGCAGTGGTGGCCAGTGACAGGACAAGAAGCAATGGGCACTGCTGAAACCCCTGAAGATCCATCTGAATATGGGGAAGAACTTCTTCCCTATGAGGGTGCCAGAGCCCTGGAAGAGTCTGCCCAGGGAGGCTGTGGAGTCTCCTTCCCTGGAGATCTTCCAAAGCCGCCTGGCTGCCACCCTGTGCCCCGTGCTCTGGGTGTCCCTGCTGGAGCGGGGGATTGGACTGGGTGATCCCTAGAGGTCCCTTCCAACCTCAACCAGTCTGTGATTCTGTAAAGATGGAAGCAGAGTTGCAGCGGCAGCACAAAAAGGTGTCCCTCTATTCAAAGTGACTCTAGGCCTCTTTTGGCAAGAGGACTCAGACACGGAGGACACTTGCTCATCAAGAGGAAGCTCACACTGGGGCCAGGATCTTGCCTTCACAGCTGTCCTCAGAGGCAAATGGTGCTTGGACCCACTCCCATAGCGCCCATGGCCAGAGCTCTTGCAGTCAGTTCATTCATCTTAGTGTGAAYGTCAAAATACAAGAAGGACTTACATAGGACTATAGAAGTAAGTAATGACTTTGGGTATCTACAGGATATAGAAGACCTGATGCCCTGCAGTTGAAGCTAGCCAAGGGAATATGGTGTGTGTTAGTTTGCAGGCACGTGTCTCCTCTGACAGAGAGCCCGAATGCCGCTTGTGGCACCAGGGCATGGAGTATGTGCAGAAACAGCAGAGCATTCACATGAATACCCATATGTGTGGGGGAGACTGCTGCACTGGAGAAGCTGAATACGGTGGCGTAGGGAAGTGCTGGAACGAAGGTTTCCTTTCCCACCTTTCTGGAGCTTTCAGATGCCTCTCCATGCTGATACTGATACTCTGTGCAAACGTGGGTCTCTCTCAGAACACTCTGTGGTCAGGTTCACTTACTGAGCTGTTACCAAATCTCTGATGTTTGGTATATATCTACGACTTTGAGGGTTTTTTTTTATGCTTTTAATGTGCTGTGCTTAAGGGAATTACTGTCATGTCCATAGACTAATTCATGATTCTCATAATTCATGGGCATTTTATCATTACCTTTGCGAGAGATGGGTCTACTTCCTGCTTGGAAATTTTGCTTCTCATTTAAGTGTTTGCCCTTTTTAAGATAGTATCTAGTGTCTGTCTTGTATTGGGGCATTTAACTTAAGTTGTAGCTTACATACACATTATTGTATGGCATGGGGATTAGCTAAAATAAATGTGTAAGAAAAGCAGCAATATATCCTCAAAATAGAAGAAATGTCATCTAAGACCTCTTTGGTTAATCTCTATTAAGCATCCTCTCCTGCTTGCGGATACATAGGTATTGGAAAGAGGAGGAGATATGTTAAATGTTAATGTTCAGAAGAGTCGTTTATTTCTGTAGAAACAAATATAATAAAAAAGATGGATAACAAATTATTCCAGTTGGAATACYAAATTTAGGTCAGTTGGGAGCACTAATCCAAAAGCTGTCTAGAAAGCTTTAATGCTGATAATGAACGAGAGAGGTGGTTTGGATGGAATCCTTGAAAAGACAGAGAACTATCAAGTTGAGCTAATAGGTTTKTCCAGTTCTTACGTTTGTGATGCTATCAATGACTTTCTATCTGTTATTATGTTCCTGTGTGAATCTCTAATGGTCTCTCTTCTTTAATAATATATAAGCTAGAAATAGATTCTTACGTTACAATATAAATGCAAACTGGGCAGTTTCAACAACTTCTTCTTCCTCAGACTCTTTCCATCTTCCCTTTCTTCCTCCTTATACATTTATTAGATCTTTGTCTACATCAGCAACTATTTGCAAGCCTTTTTCACGCTTTCATCCTAGGAATAGACTCATTCTGCAAAGTACTTTTCTCTGACCCTACTGAAAAGTTCTTATGAATCAGTTACATATCTCATATTTACATACATATCAAAAGGACAGAGATTTGGGATAGTAGGGCCATTGTTCTTCCTGGTTTTC